GCTAGTGGGAACATAAGTGTTATGCTAGTAAGATAATAATTTTTATGCTAGTGGGAGCATAATTATTATGGTAAGTGTTGCAAGTTAGCAATGTTAATTATAGAAAACAAAGGTTTCGATTCGCAAAGTTGCAAGGTTTGAAAAGTTGTTTTGCTATAATTAAGGGAGATGAACTTATACTTCATTTCAATTCTAAAAGTTTAGATTGATATTTTAATCAAATTTAGTCAAGGACATATATGAATGTTATGTTGAAAAGATTCGTCATAAGGAAATTCTATATATGGAAATGTTATAGCTAGAGACTGGTAAAGTATCAGGTCTTTATGTAAGACATTATGAATCGTGTCCCATATGCTTCAGATATATAAGATCGGTTGCATATGCTATAATATTCATGTGTTATGAATTTCCAAATGCCTAGGGCATTAAGATGGAAAATGGACCAGAACTGTATATGACTAAAGTTGTTAAACAATTGCTAAGAACAATCCAAGGTTTGCCAAAGATTGGTTTATTATGGACAATTGGAAGTATAGTAATGAATGGACCATATTTATATGATTTTGCATAGATTAGATTCTATTAAGAATGGATAGTCATATGGCGATTATGGAAAAGTTTCCATAATAGGAGTTGAATATCAAGAATCTATGGGTAAGTTAGAAACTTTTATGCAAGAAGGAAGTTAAAAAGAATGTGTTTTGAATATGAGACTTCCTATCTATGGAATTGTCTTGTAACAATCTCCAATGGAAAGTTTTGTAATTGGCAAAGTCACTGTGACCTGTGTACATAGTCATTACAAAATGATCACTGCATATAAGCTTAGAATCTAACAGATTATAGTAAGTGGCAAAGACTTGGTATTCTCACACTTACAATAAGGATTTGGAATTGTATAATGAGTGGCATTATAAATGTTTACAATTGATCTATTTCACAAAGTAAGGACCATAAGAAACATAGTGTACATGCTTGAAGCATGGGATAACTATTGTTTTAATTCACGTATTAGTTGATAAATCGAAACATTATACAATAAATAATGTGTAATCAATATGGTGATTAAATAAAATGTGTTTTATTTATATTCAAAAGTTTTGAGACCATATTGGATTCGATTATTCTTGTGTTTCACTTTGCATGTTTTGACTTCCCGGATAATAAGATTATTCAAACCATCCACAGTCGATCATACTTTAGAAGTAGGTATTGAGGCAAGAATGTCATGAATCTTTTTATAGATTGTCTAAGTGTTAGACATAGCACAAGTTTGTTGCAGTATTCATGAGTACTCTTGTAATAAGATTTAAATTAAACCCACGCTCATCTGAACCACTTCATGGATTTTATCACGAGTGATTGTGAGACGATAATATCTTATATTCTTGAAACCAAGACATGTGAGTTGTAGTTTACAAGTCGGTTGCACATTGACATATGTAAACACACCAGTAACTTGGTGTTATATGTCACACCCCCAAACCAAGGATGGCGGAAACGTCCGGGGTGGAGGACTTCATGTATAGTATCACAACAACGAGTATTTAGTGCTCGAAGCAAAAACAACCAACATAAATATAATTGAAAAAGTTACACCATAGTACGAGTTTACATGTTTCTAAATCATTTACATTATGTTGACAAAAATGGAAATGTTTAACGCCTTAGCGTCCCATCCTCAAAAGCCGTTGATTTCTTGTTTTACTGATTTCCTGATAATACAAGTAGTTTTGAAAGAGTGTCAACAATTAAGTTGATGAGTTCATAAGGGTTTTATTCGATAAAAATGTCATTTTCCTTATAAAAGTGAATGAATATTATTCCAGAAAATCCAATATTTTCTTTATAATTTGTGTAATGAAAGCTCCTATGATATGCACTAATGTACCCTAGAAAGACCCATAGGTTCCATCTATAATCACCCAATGTGTATAAGTTATATAAAATTTAAGTTAAATAAACCATCGAATATAATGAGTCTGCCCTAAATCAACAAACAAACAAGGAACAAGAAGTAAGGCGGGCCCACAAATTCTAAGTCGATCGCATCTAAATTCTTATATAACTCTAACATATACACTTGGCAATTATAACCGGAAACTAGCAAATTCTAGATGAATTGTATTTTTAATATCACAAAAACGTTTTGTGTAAACCCGGTACTTTGTATTCACCAAAACATGCTCCACTTGATTCTGATGTTGATTCTTTCTATACTTGAGGACTAGTAACGTGTAAGCTAGGGAAGGTTTGTTAGATGCAGTTTATATGCATCTTTTAGGATGTTTTTTTTGTTGGATTAGGTGTCTAAGCCCATAACTATAATTGATATAAAGTTGAATTGATGGTAACACAGTCCTTTTGGGTTGCCTTCAAACCTAACAATTAAATATGATAACTTTTAGAGAGAGAATAATGAATTTATTATTTGGTTAATAAATTGAAATAAGTGATTTATTAATGTATTATGAAAATAATATATTAATTAGAAATCATATTATTTAATGAATATTTAATCATAAATTAATTTGAAAATAATTTCGTGATTAAAGGAATTAATTAAAAGTGCATGGACTAAACGTGACAATGTTCAATAGTTGAGCATTGGGCAATTCTAGAACCTCCCATATAGGATGGACGAAATCCAGATGCTCTCTAGAGTTTCCTTGGGTTCTAAAGGTACCTCAGATGCCTTAGGGAGGAAGTTAAGGGATTAAGGTTATCTTGGAGATACCTGACTTATCCAACACCTTCCTAAACTCATATATAAACCCATTAGGGTTTAGATTTCGTGACTTATGCTTTCTTAAAGGATAGGACTAAAATTCTTCTCTACTCCTCTCTCTACAATATTCCTTGGTTGCTAGGGTTTGTTTGTGAGCCATTAGAGGCGCGACACTTGTGGCGCTTGCTACCAAAGGTTTTCAAGCTTGGATTAAGATTGGTATTACTACATAACAATCAAAGGTATGTTTACTAAACCTATATGTAAATTTCGAAAATAATATTGGCTTCCTAGTTTTTCCGAATTGATGTTCAAATACTTGTATGTTCACTAGTGAAAACATAGATCGAGGATAGTTAGGGTTGCATGCATACATATGATTGTTTGTTATGCTCAACTCTCATCACTTTTATCATTATTTTCCTATCATTTGTTAGTTTTTCCGTTGTATTTTGATAAAATGTGTATTTATGATTATAATTATAGAATTCCCCGTATTACTCACTTTTGTTATGATTTTCAGGGTAAAATATGACACTTTGAGGATGCATTCAAGGAGGCATTGGAGCTTAACTAAACCTTGGAAATGATGATTGATGCTAAGGAGTGATCGGGGAATGTTTTAACGAAGAATGAAATTCTTAATACACAAAGTTGGATTTACACGATTGTTTTTTTCATTTATACAATCTTGTAAAGCTCCTGGTGATTATTTCTGATTTTTTTCCCAAAAGCCTAAAGCAAAAACATGACTAACTCTCAAAAACATGATCGTGTTTCTCGTACGTTGCATTTTGGTCTTTTAAATCCTCGAAGACCCCCCACAATCAAAAATACGATCGTGTTTCTCACAAAACACGATCGTATTATTGTTTTGAAACCCAAAAATAAAAACATACTTCATTTATCTGGCTATGGGTGTGCGTTTAAGAAAAATACGATCATGTTTCTAAAAAGCATGATAGTGGAATTTTTCAATTTCTGCCTACACCTATACATAGTACCTGTTTACCTTTCTGATGGCCTAACTAGGTTCTAGACGACTTTTTCGCGAATTTTTAAGGGTTTTTGGTGAAGATCAAAGATCCGAGGAACACGATTCAGTCTGTTGCTCTTGTTTAGTAAGATTTATCATTTAAAATTTATTTTTATCATTTGTAATGTGTTTTAAGCCATATCCAACTAAAAACCCTCGATTTCAATTTTGCACTGACTCGATTTTTTGTGCAAGTAATCATTAGACTTGATTTTTGGTTGTGATTTTTTTGTTTAGTTTGATTAGTTTCGTGTTTAACTGAATGTTGGATTTTGAATCAATTTTTGTTGGCCACTTAAATTGGTATTTAATCATTCTAGTTAACTGGTTATTAGAATCCCCAATCGTCTTAATTAACCGGTAACAAATAATGAATATTAGATTAGTTCTGTGTTAAGATTTAGTTATAATATAAACTGATTGAATAAGTTTTTACGATTCCGAACTTATGAGAAGTATTAAACTTTGTTGCGAATTTTACACTGTTATTAATGCTGCCTTTTTAAATTAATTAAGAGTCTGTTTGATTAATTTAGTAAAAAGTTATGTTTAATTCAAAGAACATATTTTCATTAAACAATTTGGTAAAAGAAGATTATTAGGGTTTGTTAATAATTTCCAGTACCCATTTAAACGGAACACAATCCAAACAATAAAGTTGAAAGTTATTTGCATGATTAAGAGAGTCACCGTGGAATTAAAATTGCTTTTAATTATCTGATTTTTCATAAGTTATCAGTTGCATGTTTATCTAATATAAATTTACTTTTAATATTAGTTTTAATCATTAAAACCCCTTATTTAATTTACATGTCTTATGCAAAAGACATACTTTAGGACATTATGAATTTGACATTGCTTTTCTGTATTACCCCTTTGTGTAACCAAATAGTACCCTTTATACCCCTTATTTATTTGTTTAGGCATGTACATGTACATGTACACAAACATATACAAATATGTATATGGTGTGTTTGACAAAAATAACTAGTTGGAAGTTGGTGCAGGTAGTTGGTAGCGCGTAGCGTGTAACGTGTAGCAGGTAGCTGATAGCGAGAAACTGTAGCTTTTATTTGTTATATGAATGTCCGATAAAAGTAGCTGGAAACTTTTGAAATATATAAAATTATATAAAAGGATAATTGATTACAAAGAAATAAATCTATAAATATATTTTTAAGGTAATTATGGAAATTGATTTCAAAAACTTATGAGCGTTTTGTTAAACGCTACATGAAGTAGGTTTTAAAATCGGAACATTTTGTTAAAACTAAAAGCTAAACGTTCGTACTGCCAAATGAAGTTTTTTATTTAAACTAGAACGTTTTATCAAAAGCTAAAAGCTAGTTAATCTTAACACTTACAAAAGCTCTGTACCAAACACGCACATAAACTATCTAAAAAGAGATAACCAATCGAATGTTTGCTTTTGATTATTATTATTATTATTATTTTAAAAGAAAACGAAATATAATGAATTTTTCCAAATACATCTTTTGAATTTCTGTAGAACAAATAATAATCTATAACTAAAAACCAAACATTACCGGGATTTTAGAAACGATGTAAATTTCTGAAAACAGATATTTAGTAGGATTAGTGATCTATTTGTAATTTTATATAACGAAATTACATATTTCAATTTACATAACGACACAAACTTTTACCGGTTTATCTAACAATATTTTAACTTATTTTTAAGTTATGCTAATAAAGTTAGCGACCACATAAATCAGTAAAAACCATTTTGTTGTATATTATGATAAAAGTATATAACCTTCTTGTATAACACAACGCATCATACCTAGTAAGTAAAAACTTTGTACACTTGTAAAATTTGGCATTTCTTATTCTTTACCAAACATTAATCAGTACAGTTTTCTTTAGAGAAGTTTAAAAGATACAACATTCATTGCCTTCCCAAAGCCACAACAAAACCCCATTCCTCTGCCCCTTGTTTTTCAATTTTCACCTTTTCCTCTGTGAAAACTCAGAACCCGAAAAGCAAAAACAGGGGAAATTCAATTCAATACAATATAAATTAGTGATAAAGAAAACAGAGGAGACACCAATTTATATCAAATATAATACGAATCTCATAGGCTTCTCTCTCTTTCTCTCTCCCTCTCTGCTCACCATGAACCTCTTCTGACGAGCTTCTCAGATCTACCATACGCATACCCAAATATCTGTAAGTTTATCTACTCTATTTGTATGTGTCGGTAATTTTCCTTAATGGGTGAAGAGGTTTTTCCATGGCTGAAGTCTCTACCTTTAGCACCAGAGTACCACCCAACCCTAGCTGAGTTTCAAGATCCAATTTCATATATTTTCAAAATCGAAGAAGAAGCTTCCAAGTATGGAATCTGTAAAATCATCCCACCTGTCTCTGCTTCACCCAAGAAAACTGTAATTGCTAACCTGAATCGCTCTCTGTCCGCCCGAAACCCTGATTCATCACCTACATTCACTACCAGGCAGCAACAGGTCGGTTTTTGCCCTCGTAAGCACCATCGACCGGTTCAGAAACCTGTTTGGCAGAGCGGCGAGATATACACCGTGCCCCAATTTGAAGTGAAAGCCAAAAGCTTTGAAAAGAGTTACCTGAAAAGAGGATCAAATTCGAAGAAGGGTTTAACGGCGTTGGAAGTCGAGACACTTTACTGGAAGGCTCATGTGGATAAACCATTTTCAGTTGAGTATGCAAATGACATGCCCGGCTCGGCATTTGATCAAACGGGCGGTGGGCATGGGAAGAAACACGGGAAAAAGGAGATTGGGGACGCCTTGACGGTGGGGGAGACCGAGTGGAATATGAGAGGGGTTTCAAGGTCAAAAGGGTCTTTGTTGAAGTTTATGAAGGAGGAAATACCTGGTGTCACTTCGCCCATGGTTTACATTTCCATGCTGTTTAGCTGGTTTGCTTGGCATGTTGAAGATCATGACTTCCATAGCTTGAATTATATGCATTTGGGTGCTTCCAAAACCTGGTATGGCGTACCCAGGGATGCTGCGGTTGCATTTGAAGATGTTATCAGGGAACATGCCTATGGAGGCGAGATCAATCCCATTGGTAAGTTCTTACGATTACCATTTCATATAAATTCTGATAGATAGATGCATCCTACCTCTCGAATTTCCCCTGTTTTCTTGATTAACTAACTACATGCTCTGTTACACGTTTTTGTCTGTGGCTTCACTCATTCTAAGCAACCCAATTCAGAGGCGACTTGATTCATATTCATCTTGCTTTTCAGTGACTTTTGCTACTCTTGGTGAGAAGACCACAATTATATCCCCAGAAGTATTACTTAGGGCTGGTGTTCCTTGCTGCAGGTGAGGCTTTTATAGGGTTTTTAAGATTCTATTTTTTTTTTTTTGTTTATACCCACGTTTATAAAATCAAACATTATTACAACCAATTTTAGCAAAATTTTAAATAGATGGTCTATGAATTTCTATATTAGTTTTTCAAATTTAGTCAAAAGTAAGACTGATAACACTCTTTAGAGGTGATATAGTCCACAAATAGGTAAAACCCTTATTACAGTTGTAAGTTGTAATCTTTTGGTTTGTCTTTTAAGATCAATTTATTTACCTTACGAAACTTTTTGCTTTTTAACTTTCTTTTAACCAGGTTAGTGCAAAATGCTGGAGAATTTGTTGTCACTTTCCCTAGGGCTTATCACTCAGGGTTCAGTCATGGTAACATATTATTTATTACTTATCTTCACCTCTACTCCCCCTTTCTCTTGTTATTATATTATTTTTTCCCATAATCAATTAGCCCCTTTTTCCCTCTCAACACATCTTACGTTAAAATTGATAAATATTGTGAAATTTGTGTCTCATTTTTCCTTTTTCAATATAGGATTTAATTGTGGGGAAGCCGCTAATATTGCGACACCTGGCTGGTTGAAAGTTGCACGGGATGCTGCAATTCGTAGGGCTTCAATTAACTGTGCTCCAATGGTGTCTCACTCTCAGTTGCTTTATGATCTTGCAATATCATTCTCTTCAAGGTCTGTTTCTCTTCCTTATTTCTCTCTGACTTTCTGTATTAAGTCATTCTTTCTGCATTAAGTGAAAAAGAAACACCCGTTCTACAGTGTGCCAACAAGCATCAAACCCGAACCTCGAAGCTCCCGATTAAAAGACAAGTTAAAAGTTGAAGGAGAAGCTTCAGTAAAAAGACTATTTTTAGAAGACATGATGCAAAACAACAACCTTCTTCATAATCTTGGTAAAGGCTCTGCTATTGTAATTCTTCCGGAAGAATTCTCGGACAAACGGAATCCCGTTAAATCTAACGGAAGTCAATTTGGATTTGGTCAAAGTGACGGATTAAAGTTTTCTACAAACAGTTCAGATTCAGATGATGCTGTTCAAGACAAAAAGTCGATGAGAAAACTTTCTTCATTTTGTGCTTCATCAAGTAGTTTATTGGCTTCTTATAACATGGGAAGTGGAAGATATAAGGGTGGTGAATGTGATAAAAAACCAGACCCTGGTATTTTCTCATGTGTTACATGTGGGATTTTGTGTTATGCATGTGTTGCAATTATTAGACCTACAGAAGCAGCTGCAGATTACCTCATGTCAGCTGATTGTAAAGGTATTAGTGATCTTGTTGCTGCTACTGAGTTCTTTGCTGCTAATGAAGATGCAAGTTTGGTGGATCCTGAATCCTCTTTAGGTACACAATTTTGTAATTTTTATTAAAAAGTTATATGAAGCGTTTTATATATTTGTTCATATGAATGAACGCAGGGAAAATACCAAAAAGAGGCCACGATGGTTTATTTGATGTTCCAATAAAATCTAGTGATCAAATTCAAAATATTGATGATAATTCGGGTGCAACTTCTTCACCTACTGAAGCACAAAAAGTGAATTCCTCCCTTGGCCTCTTGGCTTTAGCCTATGGTGAATCTTCAGATTCTGATGATGATGATGATCATGTCAACAAAGATGATGATGTGAGAGGTGATATGAAGGATATAAACGATCAAACTTTTGAATGCTCTATCAAGCTTGAAAGAAACAAAAGCTTCAAGGACTCAAATTGTCCAAAAGGTCAATTTGTTAATGAGATAGAGTCGCAAAATCCTTTATCTGATACACACGATTCTGGAAAACAAACTGAAAACACAAAATCATCATGTGATGAAGATTCTTCTAGAATGCACATATTTTGCCTTCAACATGCTCTGGAAGTAGAACAACGCCTCCGCTCTGTTGGTGGTATCCGCATTCTACTCCTTTGTCACCAAGGTACGTTTTTTTTTTTTTTCTTTTTATGAAGAGAAAATTACGTTTTTGGTCCCTGAGTATAGCTCGTTTCTTCAGTTTTGGTCCCAAAAAGAAAAAGTGACCAAAGTTACAAGAGAACTTTTGGGGACCAAATTTGCAAAAAAATTAACTATACTCAGTGACCAATAATGTAATTTTGGTACACAATTTGCAGATTATCCCTCTTTAGATTCGGAAGCAAAGTTAGTTGCAACAGAATGTGGGACCCATGACAGGTGGACAGATCTTGGATTTAGAGAAAGCAACGAAGAAGACAAAGAATGGATACAATCAGCTCTCGATAGTTCAGAAGCCACACACGGAAACCGAGACTGGGCTGTAAAATTAGGAATCAATCTTTTTTACAGTGCCAGCCTTTCCCGTTCGCCTCTTTACAGCAAACAAATGCCTTACAATTTAGTTATTTACAGTGCATTTGGACATTTCACTTCCAGTAGCCCAACAAAAGCAAAACCTTCCGGAAGGCAGAAAAAAATTGTGGTGGCGGGAAAATGGTGTGGCAAAGTATGGATGTCGAATCAAGCTCACCCGTTGTTAACAGAACGGGACCCAGAAGAGGACGAGATCGGTGGGCCCGGTTCGGTTTTATCGAATGTAAAAATCGAAAAACGACCCGAAATCACCGAATTTAGAAAAAGTGTGAGAAAGAGGAAGAAGAGTTGTATGGTGGAAAGTAGTGTAAAAAGTAAGTTTGCGAAAGTTGAGGCGGCAGCGGTGGCGGCAAGCGGCGGTTTCCGGCGACAGCCGAGAACGAACCTAAGAAAGAAAACAACAGCCACCGCTCTTTTGTCTAGAACAATCACAACACCGTTCTCCATGGATTCCGGCGAAGAATCCGGTGGTGGTGGTGGTGGTGGGTCGAGTAGGCGGTTAAGAAAACGGATTATAAAACCACCGCCGTCTCCCGAGATTAAGAAAATGAGTGGGACGAAAAAGGTGAAAAAGGGTTTGGGTTCGGGTCCCACGATGGAAGCACTAGTGAGAGATGAAGATGAAGATGGTGAATTTGCGTGTGATATGGAAGGGTGTAATATGAGTTTCGATAGTAAACAAGAACTTATTGTTCATAAGAGGAACGTGTGTCCGGTGAAAGGATGTGGTAAAAAATTCTTTTCACATAAGTATTTGGTGCAACATAGGCGTGTACACATGGATGATCGCCCTCTTCAATGTCCATGGAAAGGTTGCAAAATGACATTCAAATGGGCGTGGGCTCGAACCGAACATATACGGGTCCACACCGGGGCAAGACCATATGTGTGCACCGAGGACGGGTGCGGTCAGACGTTTCGGTTTGTATCGGATTTTAGCCGGCATAAAAGGAAGACTGGCCATTCGGTGAAGAAGTGAAGTGAGGTAAAAAAAAAAAAATGTAATGTTAACATGTGAGAGAGGTTAAAATTAAGATATGTTGTTTTTCTAATTATTAACAAAGTGGTTGTAGGATTTTTAGGTTTTTTTTTTAGGAAGGAATGGCTCTTTTGTAAGTTATCTTTGATTAGAAAAAAGTACAGTGTTATTCAGTCACTGTAAAAGGGCACCTTCAAATTTCAATTGCAAAGAGGGAGGTTTGTTTCCTCTTTTGTACTTTTAAGAGGCAAAGATTGTCTTTTGCTGGGAATTATTAGATCTGCGTAGATTTTGTCTTATCGATCATTTCTTGAACTCTCCAAGTCTTATTATTGTAGGGGTTTTTTAAAAAAAACCCCTAAAATTCTTATAAAAACCCCACCCTATCATTTCATCTTATCAAACTTCTAATCATTAGTTTTTTTTTTTTTTTTTTTTTTTTTTTTTTTTTTTTTTTTTTTTTTTTAATAAAATTAATATAAATTAGGTACAAAATTATTTTAGTTTTAATTTAATTATCTTAAGTTATTTAAAATCATATTATGATTTATTATTGTTCGTTTTATAAATCTCTTAGTTTTAGGCCAACTTTATTTTATAAAATTTATTTGTTTTTTTAATGTTTCAAAAGTAATAGATTTACTTTTGTGTGATGATCCATATACAACAATAAACATCTAAAACATATGTATTACTAAAAAGTGTTGTGTACAACTTATGTATTACTAAAATCTGTTGTGTCCAAAAGTAATAGATTTAGTTACCGTTATTTCTATTTTTTTTCTCATTTAAATTAATAGTAGGTTATAACGATTTTACAACTTAGGAATTTTTTTTATTAAACTATTTACGACTTAGGATTTTTTATTATTATTACTTTCTTTTTAACTTTTTTGACGTTTATCCGAAAGACCGAAACCAATTTTACAAAACAAAACCCTGATCATCGGAATCCTAATCCGTAACTACTTTTTACAAAACTCTGATAGCCTAAAAGTCGGTTTTATATATACGTATATAAACTCATGATAAAAAGGCTAAAAAATGGTTATCAAATAAACTCACTATTTTTTTTGTTAAGTTTGAAAAATATAAAGTCGTTATATTAAACGAATTTAGAATAAATAAGAAACGACGTTAGAAAAAAAGTACTAAATTAATAATAAAAAATCTTTTTATATTTTCTATTGAAAAAGTTGGATATATATATATATATATATATATATATATATATATATATATATATATATATATATATATATATATATATATATATATATATATATGAGAGAGAGGGAGAGAGAGAGAGATTAGAAGGAAGAAGAGAAAAATACTTTTGCTTTTGCGAAAAACTAGGTATTAAAAAACCCCATTTGAGGTTTTTTTTACCATTACCCATAGCACACATTTCATGGGTTTTACCGGTTTTATTATTGACATAAACACATAATTATTAAATGAGCTGATTCGTGGATATGATGAATTATATAATGACAAGCTTATTGTAAAGCTTGCTAATCAACTCATTTAATGAATAGTCGTCTATGTCAACAATACAACTGGTAAAATGTGTGTTACAGGGAGAAAATGATCAAATCATCACTTTTACAGGTAATTCATGTTTTTTGGTAAATAAATTTTAGTTTTTTGGAAAGGGAACTTCCCTAACGAGGATTTCCGGGCCAGCTTTCAAGTAATGGGTCTTTAGTAGGCCTGACAATTGGGTTGGGTTTGAGTTGGCGGGTCACGAGTTGGTGTGTCAGAAAATATAAACTCAACCCAACCCATATAATATATGAGTTGACGGGTTGGCTGGTCACGAGTTGGTGGGTTGGAAACCTCAACCTAACTCAACCCATATAACCCATTTAAGTATATGGGTTCACGGGTTCACAAGTTAATCGGTCAAACCCAACACATATAACCCGTTTAATAAATAAGCAATGCATTTTAAAATATGAGGTTTTTTCAACATAAATTAATAAAAGATTAAAATAATTAACATAAAAAAAGGTTTTCAACAATAATTCATAAAGTCAATAACATCCAAATAAAAATGAAAAATGATGACATTCATAGAAAGTGAATGTGTTCTTCATTCGTGACTTCTGAGTATCTAAAAATAACGACATGTATTTTTTCTTTTTTTGATTAACAAACCGTAAATGCAGATTAGTCACATACAAATACGGAAGGAATACAATGATATGAAATATTACGAATACGGATGGAAATCAAATTTCATTAATAATTAAATATATCAATTTTTATTGTAATATATATATATATATATATATATATATATATATATATATATATATATATATATATATATATATATATATATATATATACGGGTTGGCGGGTTGACCCGCGAACCCAAACAGATAACCCAACTCAACCCATGAAATAAACAAATTGCTGGGTTGGCGGGTTGACGGGTCAAAAATATCAACCCAAACCCGTCTATTTTTGGGTTGGGTCAGTGTCGGGTTACGGGTTGGGTCGATAGTTGCCACCCCTAGTCTTTAGTGGAGATTTTCCCAACTCATTTAATGACTAGGCGTCTAGATCAACAATAAAACTAATAAATCGGGAAAAAAGAGTCAAATCGTCACTTTTCCTGATAATTCATGTTTTTTCGTAAACAAATTTTACTTTGAGACTTGTTCGTGAATTAGGATAAAAAATGAGACTTTAATGGAGATTTCCAAGTACTACCATGAGCACCTTCATTATTTATTGTATGACCAAATCAAATCAAATTATTTTTATTCCTTTTTTCACCTAATACACAACTAGTAAGTTACTAACCCCGTTTTACGGGGGACTGAAATTGCATAACTACGAAAGTTTAGGGAGAAAATCTGTAAATATACAAAACTCATGTGACCAAAGTGCGAAAACAAAAAAGTCTAGGGACGAAACATAGCAATATATTGCAGGGACGTGCAAATGGAATAATCTGTAAATTTTCTATTAGGTACACACTATTTTTTGTAATTTTTTAAAATATATTCACTGTTTCTATAAAAACATACACAAGGACATTTTCTGTAAACTACAAGGATAATTTTTGTAATTTATTTTTTATAAAGGGCCAAACCTGCCAACATACAAAAATATTAAACATAAGGACTGTTTCTATAAAAAAAAAAACCTCAAAATGACTTTTTCTATAAATTACAAAAAAATAAAGACTAAATGTATCAATCTTGAAAACATTTATTACAAAATTTAAAATGTATAAACTTCAATATTCATAAGCGAATTGTATTTAATATATGACTTATTTTTTTTTCTCTCTTTTGTGATCTTTTTTCTTTTGTTTACTATTACTATTATCATTATCATGGGTTTTTGACATAAAAGTTTTTAAGCTTGTCAAGTTTTGATGGTTTTGTCTTTATGAATATTTTTGGTGCATTAATGACTAATATTTAGGAAGATTTGTTCAACTTTGCCCTTCACCTATTTTTTTACCTTCGACATCAGATCACCATTTCCTACAACAAGTCACCACCACCACAATCTGCCATGTTGCCACAACCACCACCACCATTTGCCGCACCTACTAGTAAACTACAAAAATCATCAAAACACACACAAACCTAGAAATCATCATCACATCCTGAAATCGAAAGGGCTCTATAAACGGGTTTTTGGTTATCGATGGAGGGATGTGTTGGGATTTCGATGCATCTATACACAAAGTATTAGCACTACAAAATAAAAAAAACGACCCTAAGTGTAGATCCACCCTAGGATCCATGTTTTACATGTTATATCATCATACTTTAAAAATAGAACTAAAGAAGGATTAAACACTAACCTCTTGTTGCTTTGATTGAGACATTGTAACTGTGAGATCTTGCAATCAATGAAGGACCCAACAAAGAATCCCTCTAATGTAGTCAGAATCAAAACTCCAATAAGCAAAAAAGGAAGAACCCTTTGGAAGATTGATTCGAAAATCACTAACCCTAGGAGAGATGTTATGGATTTTAATTATAGGAGAAAGAGAGAAGAATGGTGGATGGTTTTTAGAAGGAATCAACAACTAGGGTTTAATCCATAACAGTCTATTTATAGGATAATCATTATCTTATTCAAAACCTTAAATCCTTAAGCAATTTAAATTATCTAGGATAATCCTTACTTTATTCAAAGTCTATCTTATTCCTATCCAAGGATAACCAAAACTGTCCCCTACCTCTTTCTTGAGGCTTCTGGAAGAATCCAATTAATCTTTAGGATTCGAACTTGAGACTTCTTCCCCATCTTTTTCATCGGCCAAAGCCTTTAGCCACTACGCTAAAGGCACAATTGGTTCATATTTCCTAAAATTGATTAACATTACTTAAAATTATAAAAACATAGATAATATAAAAATTACAAAAAACATATTTTTACATAAACATTTCTTTAAGAAACCAAAATATATTTTTATATATTGTAAAAAAAATAACTTTTTACAAACAATATATATTTTTTATGTATTTAATTTACATAAAATATATTTATTTTATGTATTTAAAAAAACATTTTCGTATAACATATTATTACATTGTTATAATTGTAAAACATATTTTCATGGATTCATAAAAAATACGTTATTTATATTTTTTTTTCACGCAAAAAATAAGTTTTTTTTAACGTATTTATTTGATCTAAAATATGTTTTTTTATGTATTTAAAACATTATATTTGATATCTTATTTTTGTCGTTTTGCTTTCCGTTAACATACCGTAAAAGTATATTTTAGAATTATACAAATGTAATAACATATTATACGAAAACGTACTTTTAAATTCATAAAAGAATGTTTTACATAAAATAAATACATAAAACACTTTTTTTTATGTGAAAGCAAAAAAACACTTACTATTATTATTTTTTACATGAAATCGTGAAAATATGTTTTAGGATTATAATAATGTAATAACATATTATACGGATTTTTAAAATACATTAAAATAGTTTACATAAAATAAATATGTAAAAACATATAAACTGTTTGTAATTTTTTTTTTACAATACGTAAAAAATATTTTGTTTTATTAAAAAAACGTTTTATGTAAAAATATGTTTTTTGTATTTTTTTATTATTATTTATGCTTTTACGATTTTACATAATATTAATCAGTTTTAGAAAATGTGAACAAAGTGTGCCTTTAGCTTAGTGGCTAAAGGGTGTGGGTAATGATGCGGAGGGGGAGGGGAAAAAGGTCTCAAGTTCGAATAATTTTCTTACATTTCTTCTATTTTAAGACAAATTATATAAGTGGTTGATCTAGTTTACCCAATATCATGAATTCAATCTCTACTATATCTAAAAAGACCGAAATGCCCTCACATGCTAGGCACATGATATGCATCAACGACTAAAGGACCTTCTATGCAACTTTTGCAAACTACATGAACCACTGGCTTAAAAAAATTAGTAGAGATTGAGTTTTTAACTTTTGGTAAACCATAGGGTGTGTTTGCATAATTTTGTTATTAATTTATTAATCACTTAATAAACTAATAATTTATTTTTCTCCATCTCCATATTGCTAATTGTGTTACAAGGCTAACCCAAAAGAAACCTATTATTATTAGAATTAGGGTAAATTACACGGATGGTCCCTGTGGTTTGGGGTAACCTGCGCGCCTAGTCCCTGAGCAAGATTTTTAACTCGGATGATCCCTAATGGTAAAATTCATAACCATCCTGGTCCCTCACTTAACATCCCATCTAGTTGCTCCGTTAAAACACCCCACGTGCAAGGCACGCAGGGGTATTTTTGTCTTTTCATGTCACCCAGTCTTCTTTAAACATGGTTTATTTGTCTTCTTCCCCCATTTCTTTCTCAATCGCAGTCTTCTCCTCCCACCTTTCTTCTCACAGTCGATCAAACATGGTGAAATGCAATTGTGGTGCGATAGGCGTTATACGTACTTCAACTACGAAAAGAAACCCAGGTAGGGCATTTTATGCTTGCCCATTAGAGGTACGATGCTGGAATTGTTTTGGGGGATTTTCTATTGTAACCCTAGTATGTGTATGTGCTAATCGAAGCTATTCACAGTACAGGGACCAAGGTCTGGCTTTATTAAGTGGGTAGATGAAGAAAAGCATGGTCATGAGGCGGAAATAAAAAATGAGGGGCTTGAAATCCAAATTCAAGAACTTGAGGTCCAAAATCGGAATCTGAAGGCATTGTTAATAATCAGTTGGTTTTTGTTTTTTGGGATAGTTGTTTACAAGTTGTAGTGTTAGTTTTAAGATCAACTGAAGTAGTTGCAGTTGTTTACAATGCCTTGTAATGAATCTTATTTGTATCAAGGGTACCCTTTTATCAATGAAAATGATATTTTGTTGAACTTGATTGTATTTTACAATTTGTGATGTATCTTGGGACATTGGTTAAACTACATTGCTAAAAGAAATCAAAAGATTACATTGACAAAAGCAGATGACCAAAATAAAAGCAAAACATATGACCAAAATAAAAGCAATGCCAAAAGCAGATGACCAAAATAAGCAAAACAGATGACCAAAATAAAAGCAATCAAAAGATTACATTGTTTGTCAAAGGCAAAGTACATTGCTAAAACTGGATACTATAATTACACCATTGTTTTTCAAAAGCAATTAACATAACCATCACAACACATAAATTAGTTCAAAAGAAGACAATGTTTGTCAACATCAACCAAAACAATACATAAGCACCTAAAAGCCACATTTATGGGACACCTTTCCCTTTTTTGCTAACACTTGCCCTCACTTTTGCACTTCCATCCTTCACTTTTGCACTTCCAGCACCACTAACATTCCTTGAAGTTTGTGATCCACCAGCCTTCACTTTTTCACTTCCAACCTTCACTTTTTCACTACCAGCACCACCAACAATCTTTGAAGTTTGTGATCCACCAACATTCCTTGAACTTTGAGAACCACCAGCCTTCTGTCCCTTGCAAGTCCTTGCATTATGCCCACTTTTGTTACACTTAGAACATGTCACTGATTTTTGTGCTCTTGACAATTGGTTACCTTTCACCAAATCCTCAACCTCCATGGCAGATCTCCTTCTCTTTTTCTTTGGTCTTCCAATGGGCACATGGTGTTTTGGAGGGAGTAAGGTTGTAGGGCATGTAGACTTCTCCCACATGTTCCTTCCATTGATTGGGTGAATTGTAAAAGAATACATATTCTTCCATGTTTCTAACCAATACGTTCGATGGACCCAATGTTCAGGTATCTTATCAATTTCTTTGTTCTTCAACATCTCCCACATACATGCTATTGCATGTGCACATGGTATCCCTATTAGTTCCCACCTTCTACATGAACATGTTTGTTGGCCCATATCTACCACAAACTGTTCCAAAAGATTTTTACTGACTTGATATTTCCCATTCCCACAAAAAACAGACCTTAATTGTGAAGCCTCTTTCTTCAGTTTTTCAACCCATATGGTAGCTGTAGGAGTCAAGGGACCTACAGCTTTATCAATTTCCTTTTGCACAGTTACAATTTTCTTCACTAAGTACTCTCTAATGTACTCCAAACATGTAATGATTGGTACATCACGACCTTCAACAATCTTGCTATTTAGAGATTCACACATATTGTTAAGCATAGCATCTGTATGAGCTCTACCTAATAAATCATTAAAATATGTATGAGCTATTTAGAGTTTCACACATATTGCACAGCTACAAACTAATGATCTAACATTAAAATCTACCTGTAAAGTGTGAACGAGACCAATGTTGAGGAGGAATGTTTTTAAGCCACTCATACGCATCATTATTAAGTTTTCTAAGTTCCTCCATTGATCGTTGAAACTGTTGAATAGTAGATGCTTTTGCACAATCCCATAGCAAGTCTTTGAATTGCTTTGCCCTCCAATTAGCTTTCATGTTTTCATGGATATGACGAAGACAATAACGATGCTCAGCGCATGGAAACAACTTTGCTATAGCAGTAACACTCCCTATATAATGGAAAATTGTATTAAAAGTATATCATATATAATGTATTAATTTGATATTCGAATTAATACCTTTTGTCTGTCTGTCATAAACGTAAAATTTGAGTTTGTTCCTAAACCCAAATCATCCCCTAGACAAGTTAGAAACCAAGTCCATGAGTTGGTACTCTCAGATTCCACAACAGCATAAGCCAGTGGATATGTTCCATTATTACCATCAATTCCCTACATAAGTAAAAAATTTACAATTAAAGCACCATCAATAACCTAAAATACAACTTTTTATAATATAAATGTAGTTCATATGAAAAAAGGTTACCACAGCTGAAAGTATTTGTCCTGGGTATGGACCCTTCATAAAAGCACCATCGAGACCAAGAAAGTCTCTTCTTCCAGCAGCAAATCCCTTTTTTAAAGGACCAAGACAGATGTATATGCGCTTGAAAGTTCTAGTTTCTGAATTTGGATTTGGTTCACTCTCTACATCAATCTTTACAGTCGTGTCTGGGTTATGTTTTTGAAGTTCTTGAACATAGTCTCTCAATAGAGCATACTGACCAACATAATCCCCTCGCACCTGATTGAGAGCTTCAGTTCTAGCCCTAAACACTTTCATCTTGGAAAGTCCCACTTGGTAATCACGTTGCAGTTGTTCTTGTAAAGCACGAATTGGAATAGTTGGGTTAGATTCCACCTGAGTTGTAATCTTTTTGGCAAGAAACTTATAAGTACACGCTTTAACATTCCGAGTTTGGAGACAACGATGTTCTTTGTTGTAAGACTTGACCATCCAGTTTATATCACGTTTCCATTTACTAGCGTAGAGGCTCCACGGGCACTTCTCTTCATCTTCATTGTTGACTTCTTGTTGACCTTCCCCACTTTTGTCTAAGTTTCCCAGTTTTGGTATTGTCCCCCTACACACAACTCTTACCCTATTCTTGTCATTTTTTTCAAAACCAAGTTCCCTTCTTGTCTCAATAGCATGGACTTTAACTCTTTCTTTAAACTCTTGGGCTGTATTAAAGGTTTGAAGGATATAAAATGGTTCAGCAACATTTGCTTCATCATTCTCATGAGCTCGTTGGATAGCTTTGATGGTCTTCTTTCGTTGACCAACTGGACCTTCATCCGAAGATGATCCTGACAAAAGTACCTCGTTATTTAGTACTTCATTAAGCTCTCCAACTTCATTCTCTTCTTGTACCACATTGTCATTCATACCTCCAACCCACTTTGCATCCATATCAATGTTATCATTGAAATCATTCATGTCAACTTCTACATCATCTAAGATGTTGTCATTGTCAACATAAAAGTCTATATCATCGGACTCACTAGATTTATAACCACTGTCATCGTCAAAGTTGTCCCCACTTCCAAATTCTTCTTCGTTTATGTCCTCAAACATGTCCCCACTTTCAAATTCAGACCATGGATCTTCTCCACCCTTGTTACCATCCCTAAATTCAACTTCATTCGTGTGCTCAAATTTGTCCCCAATTTCAACTTCAACGCATGGATTTCCTTTCTTGTTATTATCCCCATTATCAGTTATGTACATATTGTCATCTCCAGTGACGTCCATTACATTAGCCTCTTTAGAAGCATCCCCAACAACATTTGTCTCCCCAGTATCATACCAATCTAAGAAAAGCCTATGAGAACATGATGGAGGTTCAATAATTTCCTTTATTTGAACTTTTGCTTGATTTGGGGACATTGTGTACGTATGTAATTGGGTTTTTCCATGCTCAATATAGACTTCAATCAACTTATGCTTGGAAATGAAGGTACCCAGATGTCTCACATCCTGATCACTACCCAAAGCAAATAACCCGAAATCTAAATCTGAAAAAGGTCGTTTAAAGTGATAGTACAAAGGTATACCTTCATCAACATAGCCTAACTGTTCCATCATTTCATCAATGTCATGCACTGAGAAAGTATCCATGTCGAGTAAGTCTATATACGTTTGTTTTCCTTTGATGTACTTTCTTCCAGGAAATTTGGTGAACTCTCCACCATGGTATAACCTAATGGAAAAGATTGTCGGATGCCCCCCTGTGAAATAGCCCACTTCAGATAAGGTTTCAACAAAATCCAAGTTATAGAAGATTGAGAGTGAGAGAATACTTACAGTAACGACGTCCAACATCGATTTCCTCCATATTTGCACGTATACGCCACAACACCATTGCGTTTTAGAGGAGAAGATATCACGATTAGGGTTTTCTTATCGGAATGTTGAATTTTTTCTGGGTTTTCTGAATGAAAAGATGGAGTACAGAGCAAAATGATCGCCTCTTCGTATACAACATGGCGGTAACACTAGAATATTAAAAAGACAAAAATACCCCTGCGTGCAAGTGGGGTGTTTCAACACTAGAATATTAAAAAGACAAAAATACCCCTGCGTGCCTTGCACGTGGGGTGTTTTAACGGAGCAACTAGACGAGATGTTACGTGAGGGACTAGGATGGTTATGAATTTTACCATTAGGGATCATCCGAGTTAAAAATCTTGCTCAGGGACTAGGCGCGCAGGTTACCCCAAACCACAGGGACCATCCGTGTAATTTACCCTTAGAATTATTACAATAAAACTTAATGACCTTAGACATTATTTCCAATAATCTTCTATTTGGGCAAGTAATTAACTTTTAAGGTTTAATACTTCAATAACAATCAATAGAGAGTAGGCATCAAACGCAACTACCAAACTTTGATCTGAATCAAATTTTAGTTCTTAGATAAGTGATAAATTAACGTTTATTCTCGATATCTGTATTAACTTGGGACCTGGATAAAGGTCAATCTTGGTGTTAATTTTGTTTCCTATTTTTGACGATCACATTTATCTTCTAAATACAACACAAAATTTTGCCAGTGATTTTGTAATTTTTATATTTTAGAAATATTAAATTCATCAATAGATATTAACATGTAAAAAGTATAAATCATTTTATATTTTTGTTCACATCTTTCATGATGTAAAAAAGTATAAATCATTTTATATTTTTGTTCACATCTTTCATTTATAAATCAAAATTATTTTACAATTTGCTTTCATTTAGACATATGAACTTTTTTTTTTTTTTTTTTTTTTTTTTTTTTTTTTTTTTTTTTTTTTTTCAACTTGTCATTAATCTTTGTTTTTCAATTATTTATATAAATGCCACATAACGCCACCTACTTAATATTGTTATATAATAATAAACAATTCCTACATTTAAGCCAATATTGGCAAAAGAATACATTTTTTAGAATCCATTTCAACTTGACAGCTAATTCATTGAATTCGATTAACTACAAGGATAGAATATATGGAATGTTTACTCTTATATTGATTTAATTTTAGTATCTCATCAAATATTGAGTTTTGCTATTATTTCAATCATATAATTTATAATCTGTTTAAATTATATTAAATTTCCTACAAAATTCTCCGAGTTATTTTTCTATAAATTTCATACGTAATCGTCGATATGGATTCACCAAATCCGTGTTTATGTTCAATATTTTTTGTTTTTCGAGATTATTAGCCATAACTCTTTCCGTATTTTCAACAAGATTTGTGTAACGCTCGATCCAAATATTATTCTTTTTTGGTCCCTTATATATTAAGTTATTGCTTTTTGGCATTGTTTTGCAAGTTTATGGGAAAGGAGGGACCATTCCTGCCAAGATTGGATTTTGGAGGTGTAGCTCGAACGCGGGGCATTTACTTGGGGAACGTAGGGCGTTTACATGTGGAGCTCAAACCATAATTTATAGGGTTTAAGACCTATTTAAACACCTTAAGTCCCAAGTGTTGGCCTCATTTCCAGTCTCCATAGCCCCTAACCATAATCTCGAAAACCTAGAGCCTCCTTGAGTGTTATGAGCTCATTGTGCGTGTGTTTTGGTGTATTTGAAGCTCATTGAAGGAAAAGAAGCTTGTTGCAATGTGGTGGTTCAAGTAGGAGCTTTTAGATCTTGGTTCTCTACTCCTTGAGTGTTGTGAGCTCATTGTGTGTGTGTTTTGATGTATTTAAGTCCTTTTTTGGTCCCATGGTTGAGATCTTGTAGTTTTGATCACTCCAGAAGCCTTGAGTTGCTTCTCTTGGTGTTTATGATGTTTTAGATTCATAAATCTTGCATATTTAGAGTTGTAGAAGCCCCATGAATGAGATTAAGCCTTTTTTTATGGAAGTTGAATGCTATATCTTGAAGTTGGGACCTTTTGGGGCATGCAAAGCCACCAAGTCAGTGACTTGATGGTTTTAGATGTTCTATAGGACTTAGATCTATGTTTTGGTCATGTGGCTTTAAGCATTAAGTGCTTAATGATCACTTTTGGGAATCAGTGTGCGAACGCCCAACGTTGGGTTGAGGATCTCCCAGTGTTCTGGCTAAGGTTCACGATCTCTTGATTGGTGACAAACGCCCAGTGTTCCACAAGGGAACACCCAACGTTCGATCCATCAATGGGCTTCCTTGGGCCATTTTCTTGGACCTTGTTGTTTTGGGATTTAGTGGACCATCGAAAATTAGGTTTTTAGACTATGTATATGTTTATGCTTTAGGGTAAAGCCCACTAGAGGAGTTTGGGCCCAATTTGAAAAAATCGGGCCATAAGTGGGCCATTGGTGCGCTTTGGAAGACTATCTAGTGATGGACCTTTTATGTTATGGTTTTGAACCATAGACACGAACCAAATTAGGATAAAGGTAAAATGGTCATTTTACCCTAAGATAGATTATTGGATATTGATTGGATGTTACTTTGCATTAATAGCTTGGGAGTCGTCAGGGCAGTAGCTAGAGATTTCCTTTTGTGAAATTCAACTTTTCGAGGTGAGTTTCCTTATTGGGTTAGTGGGTCGAATGCACTAATGTCGACCCATGTTTATGTTATGTTAGTATGCTAGCTGTTTTCGTAACTCTTGCATGTGTATGTTTTTATATGCTTTTCGTGCTAAGACCTGATGTTGGGCGGTGCCTGACGACTACTTGTATTCTATGTATATATATATATATATATGTGTGTGTGTGTGTGTGTGTGTAACACCCAAAGTTTCGAAGACCAAGAAAGGAAAGAAAACCCTAAGTTTAGGGGTCGACTCGGCGAGTCCAAGGAGGGACTCGGCGAGTCCGAGCGGGATCCGGGTCGGGGAGTAAGTGACCGACTCGGCGAGTCGACCAAGGAGACTCGGCGAGTCTGGTCTGTGCGAGGAAAACCCTAATTTTGGGAGTTGTATCCTATATAAAAGGGAGTTATGCCCCTCCCTCAGCCTCCATATCATCCTAGAGAAACTGTAAACCCTAGATTCGTGGGAGCCTCCATCATTTGAGAGGAATAGCTTTGGGGGAAGGAAATCTTGGAAGGGACTTGAAGATCAAGAAGGTGGCTTCAAAGGAGAGGTGTAGATCCGAGATCTACTTCAGTTTGTGTTCTTCTTGGAGGTATTAAGCTGCCATTTTCCCTTCCTTGCATCTAGATCTATTTTGTTATGAGTTTTGGAGGTTTTATGGTTGATTAAGACCCATTTCGAGTGGGAAGCTCAGATCTAAAGTTGCTACTTCAGATCTAAATGTATCATGGCCTAGAGACTCATAAAGCATCAGTTGTTGGGTTGATTGTTGAGCCCCTTTGTCTTAAACCCGAGTTTATAGTGTTTTAAGCCTAGATCTCCTCAGCCACACGTAAAGTTTGCCACTTTACGTAAGGAATAGACCTTAGAAGAGTGGATCTACAGTTTGGAGTCCATGCATGACTCAAAGGTCCTCTGCATGTATGTAGAACCGAATGGACTCGGCGAGTCCTTCGAGTGGACTCGGCGAGTAGCTTGAAGATGAGGAGGAACTCGACGAGTGGGATGAACAGCTCGACGAGTCGAATGAATTTGGGTAGGAACTCGGCGAGTTGGATGAACAACTCGGCGAGTTGGTTGGAGATTGCCGTGTGCTCGGCGAGCCTGTTCTTGGACTCGACGAGTCAGGTCGCGTGGTCCCAAACCCTTCGAGTTAAGACTTGAGTCAGCGAGTCGAGCCAGGACTCAGTGAGTTGGATAGGACAAGACTCGGAAATCAGTAGACTCGGCGAGTCAGTGGCTGACTCGGCGAGTCGAGTCGCGAACAGGAATAACTCTAAATATATGAACTCGGCGAGTCAGTTGGTGACTCGGCGAGTAGGGTTGTCCTGGAAGGTTGAATGTGGCCGGGACTTTGGCATTGTTAATAGTTGACTTAGTTGACCATTGGAGGTTAGTTAGACTAAGTGTTACATTGATATTGGTAGCTCGAGGAGCTAGTGGAGCAGCAGTTGGAAGACAGAGGTCAGGTAGCGGTCAAAGGGATTAGCAGCAGCAGTTCAGCAGTATCAGGTGAGTTTCCTTCCAGTAGGGACGGGTCTAAGGCCACAATGTCGGCCCGTCCAGTTAGCAGTAGTTTCCGGACTTCGGCCCGATGCAGTAGTTAGTATGTTTGATGCCTTCGTGGCTCAGACAGGATTTATGTGCTATGTTTTATGTGTTATGTGTTATGTGTTCCGGGCTACGGCCCGATGTAGTATGCAGTATATGTGTTCATGCTAGTTGATATGTTATGCTATGCTATGTTCAGTCAGTTAGCCCGGACTTCGGTCCGATGCAGGGGACAAGGTCCCAGTCAGTTTTCGGACTTCGGTCCGATGCAGGGGGCAAGGCCCCAGTTAGCCCGGACTTCGGTCCGATGCAGGGGACAAGGTCCCAGTCAGTTTCCGGACTTCGGTCCGATGCAGGGGGCAAGGCCCCAGTTAGCCCGGACTTCGGTCCGATGCAGGGGACAAGGTCCCGGTCAGTTTCCGGACTTCGGTCCGATGCAGGGGGCAAGGCCCTAGTTAGTCCGGACTTCGGTCCGATGCAGGGGACAAGGTCCCAGTCAGTTTCCGGACTTCGGTCCGATGTAGGGTGCAAGGCCCCAGTTAGTCCGGACATTGGTCCGATGCAGTGGGCAAGGCCCAATATGTGCTTTATATGTTTTCGTATGGTATGTGTTAGATTGGGGGAGCTCACTAAGCTTCGTGCTTATGGTTTTCAGTTTTGGTTTCAGGTATCCAGTTTTCAAAAGAGGAGCTCGGGGAGATTGCAGTGCACACACCGTAGTCAGTTAGCCTGGGAATGTTCGACTCTGATAATGATATTATGTTTCGAATTGATACTCGAGAATTTATGTTATGACTTATGATACAGTTTTTATAAATATGATTCTAGTAATGCTTTTAAAGAAATTTTTGGTCGTGATTTTTGGGTCGTTACAAGTTGGTATCAGAGCCTTGGTTTGAGGGATTCAGATATGCATTCGAGTGTATTTGAACTCAAACTAAGGACACGATAAAGGATTTTCAAAAGAAAAACATTTTTGAAAAAGGGTTTTGGAAAAAGAACATAGAAAGAAAAGATTTTTTTTTAAAACGAGAAAAGGGTGTGGTGCATGCAATCAGCCGAGCTCAAGTAAGTACTCCCAATTTACCCATACAAGTTATGTTATTATTTTCAATATCAGTTTCAGTTCAGTTTCAGTTCCAGCTTCAGTAGAACAGCATGCTAGAATAGGACTAAGGATCTAGGATGATGCCTTATGTGCCTGCTTTATGTGTTCCAGCTTGATGAGAATTGCATGCTAGTAATGAGTAGACAGTAGTAGGATAGCCTGTGTAGGCTATGCCTGAAAGTATAAGCTTAGCATTATATGCTAGTGCAGTTTCTTGTTATGAGAATTGTTTTGCCTGAGTATGTTTCCCTTATCCGAATGCTGCTTGCTTTGTGCTTT